GACAAGGGGGGGGGGGGAAGAGTTTGGAGTCTTTAAAAAAATCCATTCCAGCAGGGACTGAAAATAGGGACTAATGTAAAAATGGTTAATCCATCCACTAGATTTTTTAAAACCTAAAATGACCTCTAAGGTTAAAAAAGGGCAAGAAAGGAGGGAGGGAGGGAAGGAACAATGGGGAAAAGAGGCCTTTTTCCGGTTGTATCTCAAAGCGCTGGTTGCAAGTCAATGAAAAATGTTGCGACTGGAGCTGGTTGTAAGTCGAATTGGTTGCAAGTCAATACAGTTGTAAGTTGAGGCACCGCTGTGTTAATTTTAACAAGCCTGCTATCTCTGGAGATCCAAAACCAGTTTGAGAACTGCGAAGTTTTTGGTGCTCATCTTCTAGACAGATTACTTTGGGAGACAGAAAAATTAACATTATCTGTAGCTGTTTGGATGGTTCAATACGTTAGGTATCTGGCTGTGGAGTTCAGTTCTCCACTGTGCATCCTAGGGGAGCCACCCTGTGTCGCACTGGACAGGCAGCACAGTTCTAGGATGCCCCTAGAAGCAGAGAATGGTAAACCACTTCTGAAAAATCTCTGCCTAGAAAATTTGAAATTGGTTGCCATAAATGAGAATTGACTTGATGGCACCGGATTAAATTATATAGAAGCTTTTGAGCTACCATAAAACTTGGACTTAATAAATGTTGGATCCAATTTACTCCTCACTCCCCTAAAAAGCTATAGAAGTATATTTTTTGTTGTACATACAGTTTATAATTTCTTAATAATAAGGTATTTTATACTTTAAAATTACCAACCTGTTTTTTTAAATTTAAAACTTTAGCAATTCAGTGTTAAGAATTCCAGTTTAAATTTTAAAATTCAGTTTTGTTTCTTACCCCATTAAACCATATTTTTCTAACCAGAAACTTTGTTATCAGATAATTTTTCAAGAAGATTTAAAATCACTTCATATGTTGCTGTTTGTTTAGGTGGTACCAATGCAATAAGTACGTCATCCTGGCGAGATGGACAAAGACTTGCAAAAAAGATACTTGGTCCAGCATCTAAAGTGGAACATCAAGACAAAGAGCCACTATCTAACAATAAAACTGGAAAGGATAGAGCTACTAAATCTGGTAAGATGAATTTTTTATTATTATTATTATTATTATTATTATTATTATTATTCATTCATTCATTCATTCATTCATTCATTCATTCATTCATTCATTCATTTATTTAATATCTTTGCCTACTGCTTTTGGTAGGCAAAGATATAACAATTCTTTAAAACAAATAGCTTTATCTAATTCCAAAGTTTTATTGTTGTACCGGTCACACATTTCCTTTCTTTAAAAAAGAGACAATTATTCGATAAGCATATTACATGGTATTTGCAGACTCAGTTGTATTTTTGCGATCATTTGTTCACTTGTATCTGTGCCTTCTAGAATATGAAAGTGATAACTTCACAGACCCCTGTAAAATGTGTTTTGGTGTATGCAGCTTCATCTTACCATTTGCTAACCAGACTTTATTAAATGTTGGAAATTTTTGCTTCCCTAAATGGTAAAACGATCACCCTGTCTGGCTGGCTGAAATAAGTTACCATTGTTACTTGCTCCAAACATTTCAGGCTGAGTCAGGCTCAAGGTAGGTTTGATTTAAATTTGATGTAAATCATGATTTAAATTTTAAGAATTGGATTTTTTAAATAATTTAAATAAAAAAATCTTTTTTAAAAATGTAAATCATGATTTAAATTAAAAATTATTTTTAAAATTCATTGTAAATCAATACTTTTTTGTGGTTTTCAAAAAAAAATCATTCAATTTTATCCACTCTGTTCAGGCTATAAATTTAGACTATCTATTCTATGAGTGTTTGTGATGTGCTTTTCTTCTTCTTTTTTTATAATATATAATTTATTTTGTCAATCAGTACCTTCAAAATATTTTGTGTTTTGCATGCAGTTTTCCAGAGTATGCTATCCATGTAACTTGTCCTTTTAAAGTTCTAAAAAAGGGCATATTGCATTAGAATAATCCTTCACTATCAGTTACATACTGTCAGCTGGAAAGAGGGCCATAATGCAAAAGAGTACTGTACATTAGAGTACATTTTTAACCACAAATACCTTATTTAGTGTCAGGAGAACACACCCTACATACCTCAATGAATAGGAATTAGAACATTTGAACATACACATCTCAGTTTACTGAGATTTTATTTTCTGAATACATCCAGGTGCCCATATTTAGAGCAAGAACCCTCCATGTTTGTGACAAACGAGTTTCCCAGCAGGCACTTTGGTTTCCAGACTCACAGAATACAGATTATACAGCCTTGTGAGAGCAAATAACAGGAAGGATGCTTCATCATGGAATGGCAAGGGCAGGTGGCAGTGAAAGAACATGAAACAAAAATTATGAGGGAAAGAAGGTTGTGTTTCTTTGAACAACAACTTCAAAACTTATGCTTTTGATTGTGGAGAGGAGGAACAACCAGAGGCAATGTCTGTTTCACAGTGGCTGCAAAGGTTGTGTTTTAAATTGAAGGGCACACCAGGGAGACAGAGAGGTGGCAGAATGGCAGAGGCTGCTATGGCACCTTTTTATAAGCAAGTGAAAACAGTGGCTTGGAAACCACAGCAAAAACTGCAAGTCAGGTAACGAAGAGAAGGAAGGTAACCAATTTTTTTTATAGTCAGTTTAACTATAACAAGAAAACAACCTGTGACATCCATAAAGAGGCCCTTTTGTGAGGCGATGTAGCTTGGGGGTTGCTTGCATGTGCTATTGGTTGAGGGACCTTCCATTATATCTTTGCTTCTTCATCGTGGTCTTCTGTGAATACACACAAACGGGTTAATCCGGCGCCTGCGTCGGTCCTCTCGGAATATTCTCGAGCTCTGAAAGAGAAAGTAACAGACGTAATACTGCCCCTATTGCGCATGCTCCCGCCCACCCCAGCCTCAGTTCCATTTCTCCGCCTGGTGATTCGGAACCTCTCTTTCGAGCTCCGTTTTTCTCTCGTTCTAAATTAATATTTTCTACGGTTTTTTGGACTTGGACTGGATTCGGACCGTGTAATTCTACTGCCCCTTGACGTGGACTGTATTTTTTCTGACTTCGCATTCGGTTTTTCCCTTTGTTGCGGTTGTTCCGCTGTTCCTGCCTTTTTTCCCTTCCCCAGCGGCTCCCTGTACTCAGTGGCTTATGCTGTCAGGGCCCTTCAGCCGTTGTGTGCTTTGCTCTCGCAAAATACCACACCAGGACCCGCATGATCGGTGTCTATTTTGTCTTGGTGCGAGACATCTAACTACGTCTTGCAAACATTGTAAAACGTTCACTAAGGCAGCGCTGAAAGCCAGACAACAGCGGCTTAATTACCACCTTTGGGAGTCGACTCTTTCGGCCACTGTACCTTCAGAGTCGGAGATGGTCTCCCCTTCGGCAACCCCGCGGCAAGAGGCAGACGTTTCCCCTCAGCAGGGCCCATCTAAGACAGGGAAACAGTCTAAGGCACCTACATCTAAAAGAGCCTCTAGCAGGACAAAATCTGACTCTTCTTCGACCAAGGTGGCGAAACAAGGCAAAACGAAGTCCTCAGCCAAATCTAAGGACGTTACGACCCAACTCCCGCCGATCTCCAAGTCCCTCCCATCTCCCATATTTGAGGACTCGTCGAGAGACAGGGCATACTTGTCGGAGACAGCTCCATCTCTGCCTCCTCGACAAGTTGAGCCGGTGATGCCTACGGGCATCGTATCTCCGACCCCTAGTCAGCTTGCAGGTGTCACCGCAGGCTTGACTTCGGCCCCTCACAGCCCATCGACTCGTGGGCTGGGGTCCCCGGCTCCGTTGACCTTGACATCTCCTTCGAGGTCGAGATCACCCCGCGGCAAGCGCCCTGCCAAGAAGAAACATATCTCGACCTCCCGTTCGAGATCGAAATCACCACGAGGGAAACGGGCCCGCTCAAGGAGGCATACTTCGTCATCCTCCTCATCTTCGACGTCGTCACGAGGGAAGCGTGCCCCCAAGAAGGTGCGTTCTGTATCGCATCGACGCCGCAACAAACACCGACGGCGAAAGCACGCATCCACCTCATCAGACTCCCATTCATCCCGGCGAGCTAGGCATCGTCGGCGCCGACATCGCTCCACCTCCACCAGTTCGACGTCGACCGACTGACGGCGCAGGCACAAGAAGACGAAATACGTCTACATTGCCTCGTCATCAGACACCTCCCCACCTCGCCATCGCCGTCGACATCGACGTCTCGACGTCGACCGACCCGCAGATGGCCGACCGCAACAGCCTTTGCCTCTCCCTCCCTTGGCTCCGTCTACTACCCTACCTTCCTTACCACAGCCGTCGACGTCGAACGCTAGGGTCGACGTCGATAAACCTCCACGGAAGAGGAAAAGGGATGTCTTCTCCGATCCGGATGAAGTCTCTTCGGTTCTGTCTTCCAACTCAGAACAGGGGCCTCCTCCACAGCCAAACCGGAATGCTCTTCCGGAGGGCGAGACAGTCGGCTCGGATATAGGAGATGCCAATGTGTCTTCCCCCTCTGAAGATTTTTCTTCCTATTCCCAGATGCTATCGCGTCTAGCTAAGACACTTAAACTGGAAATAGATCAGCCTGCACCCGCTACTGAAAATCTTATTTTTGGAGACATAAACCAAGAGAGGTCTCCACCTCCTAGTTTGACCTTCGTACCTGCTATTATGGACATAATAAAACAGTACTGGGAACATCCCTCTGATGCCCCCTCATTACCTCGCAGGACTGAGAACGTCTACCGCGTTCATGGCGAGGATACCAAATTCCTTCTCAAACACCCGATTCCTAACTCCTTAGTTGTTGAGACCAGTTGCACCAAGCCTACTGGTAAATCGCATGTCACCCCTACCAACAGGGAGGGCAAGAAATTAGAGATTATTGGAAGAAAGCTATACTCCCTTACTGCTTTCCTCATTAAACTTATCAATTATGAAACTGCCTTGGGGGCATACCAAAAACAACTGTGGCTAAAGGTTTTGCCTGGATTTCAGCTTATTCCCCAGGACGTCAGACAAAATTTCTTAAATTTTTATGAGGAGGCTCAGACTGTGTCTAAGTATCAACGACTCTCCACTAGGCACGCAGCAGAAGCAGCGGCCAGAATCCTTATGTCCTCAGTCACTATCCGTCGACATGCGTGGTTAAGGGCGGCTAGTATCTTAGATGACGTGAAGAGCAAAGTGGAGAACCTCGCATTTGATGCCACTGGCCTCTTTAATGACAGGACAGATACTCACCTAGAAGACCTCCATAAGGCTAAGAAGACAGCTAGATCATATTCTATTCAGTCTCAGCCACGTTACAACAACCCTCAGTGGCACAAGTCTTATGCCCAGTATCAGCAGTCATCCCAATATTTCAGAGCTTCCAGAAACCTACCTCAGCAAAGATCCTCTAGAGCATCATCTTCTGCTCCCAGCTTCAGGTCTCAACAGTCCCAGCGTAGGCGATCTTTCAAAACACCTGCCAAAAAATCCAAACGTTATCTTTGACTCTCCAAGACGTTCTCCTTTCAATTCAAGCACCACAAGACTTTCCCCCTTCTTGTCCAATTGGCTTACAATTACAAACGACGCGTGGGTCTTAAACATCATTGCTCACAGATACCAACTAGAGTTTATCGAGTTACCTCCTCTAGGGTTCATATGTCCCACCTCATTTGACGTTGCTCCAGAGGAGGAGATTGCGTCACTTCTGCGAAAACAGGCCATTGAAAAAGTTCCCATGGCAGACTTAAAGACCGGCTTCTATTCCAAATACTTCGCCGTGTCAAAAAAGGATGGAGGTATAAGGCCCATTCTAGATCTCAGGGTCCTGAATACTTACCTTCGTCCTCGTCGTTTTCGTATGGTCACACTCGAATCAATCATGCCCCTGTTAAAAAGAAACAACTGGTTCGTCGTCATAGATCTCAAGGACACTTATTTTCATATCACCATTCACCCTCATCATCGCAAGTACCTGTGTTTTCTGTTTCGGGACACCATTTACCAGTTCCGGGCCTTATCCTTCGGGCTCTCCACAGCCCCTCAGACATTTACAAAGGTGATGGTACCAGTATCTG